GAATTTTATCTAAAAAAACCCCCAAACCTTAGGCCATATAAATTGACTGTTAAGGATATCCTTAAGGATTGTCCTCTGAAGGATAAAACTCAGTTGACCCTTCAACAACATGGAGGTTAATCCACATATAACGTATAGTCAGCCCTCTGTATCCACGGTTCCTCTGCATCTGCAGACTCTGCCAGCCGCGGACCGTGTAGAACTGTAGTGTTTACTGTTGAAAAACATCCACATATAAGTGAACCTATGCAGTTCAAACCTGCATTGTTCAGGGGTCAGCTGCGCTTGTGTCAGCCAAATGAAAAATAGCTATTTAATTAGAATTTCTTAGAGGGAATCTATATGATTTTATTTAAGGTAATGGTTCTATTTAACAAATTTTTTTCTAGAACTTTAGAACACTCACCAATATCTGTACATGTTTTCCCACCATTGTTACCCATATCATTGTTGTGCACAGGATAATCCTGTATTTGTACGACTCATAAGTAAATACAGCCAGTTATAGTATTGAATGGTACAGAGTTGCCATGTAATATTTAAGTATATAATTCTATGTTAGAAACTGTATTTCAGCTGTTCCAATTCTGTCCTCTCTCCTCAGAATTAGGACAAGAGGGAGAGATGTGCAGTGTGGCTATGTTCTAATTGCTAAACTATAGATTATTTTTAGATGAAATAAAAACCTGGTGTTGCATGGTTTCTTCCTTCAGGCTCGATTTTATTCTCCAGCCACCATATTTATTGATGAGATAGATTCCATCTGTAGTCGCAGAGGGACGTCTGAAGAGCATGAAGCAAGCAGAAGGGTGAAAGCTGAGCTGCTGGTTCAGATGGATGGTACGCACGTGCCTAGGCGTGGACTAAGCCCCACTCCTAGTGCTAACCACACAGCTCCAGACAACGAGGTGGGGGGGCGAGGAGGTCATGGAGGTGGACAGCAGTAAATCGGGCACAGTGACAGTGGTGACAGCAGAAATAATGGCTGTTCATTCACAGGGCACCCTTTGGCATATACACTCATCTTATTTTTAGCCATAAAATCGAAATAAATGCAGATAAATTGGCTTTAGAGAGGGATATGTATGGTTTTGAAGAATTTTTTTAATTGCTATGTAGTTAAGCTGAACTGATTCAATTTATTTTAAGTCATATTTTTTGCACACTGTAAAAACTCACTTTTCTTGGACCACAAATTCATGTATGTACCAGTTAGCTTTATAAGTCTTAAGGAGGGTTGATGATTACCTTGCCTTTTAATGTTGTGAAATATTTGATAATCTTTCAGTAGTTGAGATCTATTTTGTGTCTTTTTACTGTATTCTTACCCTTCCTTAAGGTGTTGGAGGTGCTTCTGAAAATGATGACCCTTCCAAAATGGTTATGGTCCTGGCAGCTACTAATTTTCCTTGGGATATTGATGAGGCTTTAAGACGACGTCTTGAAAAAAGAATCTATATTCCATTACCATCAGGTATCTTCATTTGAGTCAGAAAGTTCATGTTAACTCTTAGGTAGTTTTGCATAGAAATTTTAAAATTTGGTATTAATTACTTAACTTCCCTTTTAAAGACAAACGTAGGATGTCTTTTCTTATTATTAACTGGTTTGGCTATATCTAGAGCCTAAAGCCTTGATACTAGGAAATTTAAAATTCAATGAAATACTTTAATACAAAAATTAAAATTAATCAAAATCAAAATTTTAAAAATAAAATAAATGAGGAATAACTCTTACATTTTTTAACCAGATGAGCTCTAAGAATTGGAAAAACAACTTTTTGAAGTAGACTTGAGAAAAGTAAAACATTGTTTATGTTACATTTTTTAAAAAATCTTTTTTTCCTTTTTTTAAATGGAAGTACTGGGGCTTGAACCCAGGACCTCCTATGTGCTAAGCATGTGCTACCACTGAGTTACACCCATCTCCCGAAGGCTTACATTTTAAAATTTGTTTCTACCATTAGCAAAAGGCAGGGAGGAGCTGTTACGGATAAGTCTACGTGAGCTGGAATTGGCTGATGATGTTGACCTTGCGAGTATAGCAGAAAACATGGAAGGTTATTCAGGTGCGGACATTACCAACGTGTGCAGGTATGAATTATTTTGGGAGCATAGGTTTTTGTGGGTATAAACTTCTATTACGAAGTTTTGTGTTGGATTAAGATGGATGAAGAATGAAGACCCACATTATAATCTAGTCACAGACGCGAGTTTTGGTACTTAGTGTTATCTGGTGCTGGTAAGTTATTTGGGTATCTTGCGTGTCAGTGAAGTGTCATCAGTTCATTTAAAAGCTGCAGGTTCAAAAAGCTAATGGTAGAACAATTTGTATAAAATAGAAAATCATTAATTGTCTTGGATTAGAAAAATTAATGTTGGTGCATTCGTTCAACATATTGTTAACAGAGGAAGTATAACTTGAAATTGATTTGGCCTGACAATGGGGAGTACAATCTCATTTTCAGTGAAAATGTCCTAAATGTGATAGGAAGAGCAGTAAAAAGAAGAGATGGTCTCTAATCCAGCTGACTCAAGTAAATTTTGTCCTAATCTAAGTGTTAGTTCAGACACTTACTAGCGAGGTACTTGACTGCACTAGTTTTCTCACCTCTCAGGTAAGCATACCAGGCAGGGCTGATGTGAGGTTTAGTGATAACGTGTGTATGAAACAGCTGTGTTTGTCCCTTTGCACATATATAGTGGCTGCTATTAAGGATGAAACTGGGTGAAAGGAAAGAGGTAGTTGAATCTGAAGTTTCCCCTTTAAAAAACAAAAATAGCATTAATACAGGAGGCGGGGGAGGAAGGAGAGACCATCTGACTTAGTCATTTAGCTTTTCTTACACATGTAGTAGAAAAATATGTAGTCTTCTAGCTAACAGTTTCTCTCCTGTCTCTATGATGCTTATGTATTTATGGTATACTTTTAGTAAAATTCAGTTGCTATCTTTTTATATCCTTTTACTTCTTCTTGGGCTTCATGCTTAGTGTCAATTATTTAAGTTGATTAGTACTCATATTTCATCATGGAAGATTTAACTGCTAGAAAACAACTCAAAACAGACCTGTGGTCCAATACTAGATTCTGTGCAGTACTGCATATATATATGTAATAATAACAGAATAACACACGCATGGAAAAAATGTTGTTTACGAGTTTTTACTCAACCAAAACATCACTTTCTGGTTTTTTTGATTTTGTTTTTTAAATGTAAAACCTAGGGATGCATCCTTGATGGCAATGAGAAGGCGGATTGAAGGTCTGACCCCGGAAGAAATCAGAAATCTTTCCAGAGAAGAAATGCACATGCCTACCACCATGGAGGATTTTGAAATGGCTTTAAAAAAGGTCTCCAAGTCGGTGTCTGCTGCAGACATTGAAAGATACGAGAAATGGATATTTGAGTTTGGATCATGCTAAATTCTCACATGTAAACTGTGAGAAACCTGCATTCAGTGTTTGAATAATAATTAAACGTAGTGGTTCATTGCACCAAGCGCTATATTTTTTTAAACTTTCATAATGGTAAGATTTTTTTAAAAAGTATGATTCTGAATAAAGGCAATTTTTAAAGCTACAAGCAAATTTGTTTTACTTTAACATTATTCAGTTTCTCTTTCACTGACGACAAATGTTGCAGCACAAATACTATTACTTAGCTTGAAAAGGTGTCTTTATAGCACTTCTGAGTGTATCGTCTTCTCTCCCACTGCCTGCGACCGCTCTTCCTGCTGGTGAGGAAGACTGGCTCTGGCTCCGTAGGTGCCAGTGGGTAACTGCAAACTCCATGACGTCTTTATACAAGTCGTCAACTGATGCATGAAACCACACCCGGTGTGCTTTCCTTCCTGCCTGGTGTTATGCTGGCGTCCCTCCTCTTCCTGGGAGAGCTGTAAATGCCCTTCATTTTACTGTGTTTAAAAGGGAAAAAAAAGTTACATCTATGTACAGCCTTCCCTGCCTGCCTTCTGCCTACGTAAGAGGCTGCCCTGTAGGCAACTAGATACCTTTAAGGCCGTGCTGCTCACTCTACTCGAATGAAACTCATGAACCCATCACTCATGGATACAAAGTGCAATTAAAGTAATAGTTGATGGTGCAAGTAAAAGTTAATAAAGAAAATAAAGGTTAATGGTACAAAATTTTAGGTAAGATTTCCATTTATTGTTACTTGTAAAAAAAAAAAACTAACTGTATCATCCCAACCACTGAAAACAGCTTCAAGGAGACTGAGTGTTCGCCACGGTTCCTAAGCCTCACAGGTAACGAGAAGGCAGGATGGGAATTGCTTGCTGACTGCAAAGCCTACAGCACTGTTCTCCTGCACTGTTCTCACTAGAATCTACAAACCATGCTTAATGGGTGAAATAAGACGCTGTCATCATACAGAGTTAGAACTGGTGATTTCTAGCAATGTAGAGAGCGAGGAAGTACATAAAAAAATATGGTGTTACTAGCTGGGTGACTCTAGGATCAAATTATAAATTGCATACTATTCATCTATAGTATGGAGATGATAGTACATTACACAGGGCTGTTATTCCTCATTAAAAACAGCAAGGCAGAATGAAACATCACTCTTCACTCTACTGCCTGTCATCCTTCCTCCACATTAGTCTGTTTAGCCTACATCTGAGGTGTTTTTAAAACCAGTCATTTCTTTCTTGAACAATGTGTTTGTTTTAAATGATGAGTTGCAATCAAAAAAATTTTAATAAAACAGTAGAAAGTATCACATGGAGTAAAGATAAGTACTATATGTAATGGATCACAATGTAAAACATACTTCAATATGGGTAATAGTTAAAAAAAGACCAAGCACTGTTGTAGGGTAAATAGGATTATACTGAGAACCACAAGCACAAAGGCACATTGTAATTCCATGATACTGACAGACTCACTCACTGATTTGCCCCTTGGTTTCAGTGAGTGTTATGTGAAAGGAGCTGTTATAAGTAATTCTCACGTAGGCAAAGTTTTTACTCCAAAAAGACTACTTTTTTTCTTCAAAAAAAAGTTTATTTTAGAGTGAGAACATGTCACTATTTTACAGTCTTGGTTCATTCAAGGTTAAGTAGTCTTGGTACAGGATACAATCAAATCATGATACACTTCAGTGATTTTATACTGAGTCACATAATATAAAGGCACATTTTACTGAATAAAAAAATAAGTGTTCAGTTCTTGAGCTTTTAAATTAGAATTTCATAAAGTGCTTTTCATAAAGTCTTATATATTATAGTAATTAAGTGGATATAATTTCCCTAACAAAGGCACCTTGAAAAGTATTGGCACATGGCATTTTGTCTTGCCTTTTTTTCTTTTTTGGTAGTTTCAACTTTTTTTCACATGTCTTCTCTTCCACTTCACTTAAATTTTCCTTAATAATTGATCATCTAAACAGCCAGTCCTATTACAGAATAAGGTGAAGTTTAACTGTCACTTTAAAGGTCAAGTCTTAAGCAGTTTTAGGAATTTAGCAATTTTTCTAGGATACAAACTGATTCTTACTGATTTCAAGGAAATTATATTCGAGTGGCAAATTTGAACCAATAGACTAATTCAGAGTCCGTGATTTAAGATGGCATTTTAAACACGTGTTTTATCTTCAAGATTTTCTGCTGTTTTCTCAAGACCATCTGAATATAAGTTGACAGCTGTCACAGGTATAATATTCACTTTATCCAACTGAAGAATTCCTCTGAAATATAAAAATTAAAATTAAGCATTTCCTCTGTCTATACTTTGGAAGTAAAACAGGGCTGCTTCGAAGTTATAATTAAATATACACCTGTGGTTAGGTGCTTTTGCTTCATCTTACTTAGTTCATGATGGTTGTATGAACTTAAGTCCAAAGTTCACTTTAACCAAACTAACTGAGAGAACAGAAAGGAGTAAGAGAAGTTCCTTACCTGGTACTGCAGGAGAGGACAGGGTAAGTACAGATCCCCAAGGCAGACAGTCCTAGATATGCACAAGTTGGGAAGAAAGACTGGCCCAAGCAGCTTCCTAACCAGTACTCCACTGGAATGCTACCTTACATCTTTAGACAGCACTTCTCCTCTGTTACTGAAACACCTGACCAGGGAGAGCTTTGGATTGGATCCAAGAAACTGTACTGCAAGTTCAGTGTTACCTCAATCAAAACATCAACAAAAGTTAGTGTGTAGAACCGAACAGGCCGATTCTAAAGTTCACAAGGGAGAAACTGCAAGAACAGCTGTAACATTTTTTCCAAACAAACAACATGGAGAAGAGGCAGCTGCCCTCACTAGCTACCAGAGGTTTTATTAAACCATATTAATTAAAACCATGCTACTGGCTCAGCAACAGACAAGTGGATCGGTGGAAGAAGAGAATCCAGAAACAAGACTAGTGTATAAGGGAATTTAGTTCATAGTAAGTTAAAATTCTGTCAATGGGCAAATTACTAACAGATCAATGGCCTCTCTGGTAAACAAAATCAGAACTCTAGCTCAAACTATACACAAAAGTGACGGTAAAAAAATGTTTTAAGAAAACAACATCATTTCAAGATGGGAAAGGTCTATTTAAGAAAAATTAAAATCCTAGAAGCCATAAAGGGAAATCATTAATTGCTGTGACCCCAAATTCAAAACTTCCATATGATATGGAATACCATAAATAAAAGCAAAAGACAAAGCATAATCTGGGATTTAAAAATAAACATATAGTGTATATTTATGCATATTATGTATGTGTAACAGGAGCTCCTATATACTGATGATTACAGAAGGCAATACAATTGAAAAACGAACAAGGGCTATAATAGGCATGTCACAGGAGAAATATATACAGCTAAGTACACAAAGATGCTAAGACTTAGACTAGTAAAGATGCTAGTAAGAAGAAAATGCAAATTAAAATGAGTTTCATCCACAGTATAAAAGCAAAAAAGATTGCCATCAGGTGTTGAGAAGATGTTAAAAAAATATATATATACACACATATACATACACACATACTCTTTGACCCAGTAATTTCACTTTTTAGGACTCTATTCTACATAAATACACCTGTGCAAAGAGATATATGTACATTTAAGAATATACACTAGAGCATTATTGAAAGTAACACGAAATTGGAAATCACCCAAAAGTCTACTGGAGGAATGGTTATATTACGGCATAGCCATACTGTGAAACACTTTGCAGCCAAAAAGAGAATAAGTAAGCCCATATACGTATTAATAGGAAAAGATCTTAAGTCCATGGTTCTCAAACTGCACTGAGACCCCTAGGGTAGCTCAGAGAAGAACTACAGAATATTAAAAATTTTTAAGACTCTATGTGTAATACTAGCTTGAGGGTAGTTCACAATTTCAACATTAGATCGTACTATACAGTCTTTTTTCAATGAAGTCATTTGCAAAGCTGGACTTTTGGCAGTTATTGTGATAAAAAGCAAATACTGTACAAACAACTAGTGTTGAACAGGAAATGAAGGTGGCAGTGTCCAATCTGATTCCAAGCTAAGAGTACTGTGTAGCACGCATATCCCACCAGTAAGTTAAGAATTATATAAACATACGTTTCTTTCAGTTTTTCTTCTGGCCTAGGTAGGGGCACCAGGAAAACATTCCTGGCACACTAAGAGAGCTATAAACCAAGAAAGTTTGAGGGCCTCTGTTATAAATGAATAACATAATCTGTGGGACAGATAAGAGTCTAGGTTGAGAAACAATTCTAATTATCTAGTATACAATTTCATCAATATATAGGATTTGGATAAAAGACGCATACCCAGTTAACAATTATTACCTCTACATACAAGAGTTAGAGAACACGGAAGTGAAAAGTTTTAACTTAACTGCTCTCAACATTTCTGTATTATCAATTTTTACTACCAGAAAGTATCCTTAGTACAATTGCCATTGATAAAGTATACTGAAAATTTGGTTCTTAATTTTACATTGCATCTTTTCACAGAGGAGGCCCAGGGCAAATGAAACATTTTGTAAAAGAACAATAAAAAAATTTACAACACTGTTTTCTATGCAGATTTGCATAATAAAGGCCGAAAAAAGTTCTGACCTTCCTGGCAGCCAAAAGGAAAAGAAAAAGGAAGAAACTATCAAGCTATAGAATTTTCATTAGCAGAAAGAAACGTGAAATGTGAATTCTTCAGAGAAAACACAAACTAAAAGGCAGGGGCACTAATACTTCTTTACTCTCAGGTGTTTTGCTTGCATTATGACTTTGACCTTTAACAATCCTTTAAGGGGAGGCATTAGTTCAATGTGACACATGAAGAAATGGGAATTTTGAAGACCGCTTGACAAGCAAGTGGAAAAAGAGCAAATGTTTAATTTGGGTCTTTTTTTTTTTAAAATATAAATCCTATGGTCTTTCCAACACAGTACAATGTAATTGAGCTAAAACAAGAATTATAGTCATGTGTATTGAGATTTAATTCTATTAAGACAATTAAAATGGGCTTGCGGCGCCACTTCCCGCTCACAGCCCCGTGCCTCGCTCCTCTCCAACATGGCAAAACTATCCAGCCCTCGAGACTGAGCGGTGCATCGAGTCTCTGATTGCTGTTTTCCAAAGGTATGCCGGACAGGATGGTAGCTGCAAACTCTCCAAGACCGAGTTCCTAATCTTCATGAATACCGAACTGGCTGCCTTCACAAAGAACCAGAAGGACACTGGTGTCCTGGACCGCATGATGAACAAACTGGACCTCAACAGTGATGGGCAGCTAGATTTCCAGGAATTTCTCAATCTTTTTGGTGGCCTGGCCATAGCTTGCCATGACTCCTTCATTAAGGCTTCCCATTTCCAGAAGTAAATTTGAGGAACCTTTGGGCCTGGTCTCTAGACTCAGCCTCTTTCCTTCCAGCCTCCCAATTACCTACTCCTCACAGCCCGACATACCCTGAGCCCAGTGCACCCACACCCCATGCAGGCCACTCCTGCTTGTTATAATAAAACAGTATTGTTTTTAAAGCCCTCCCCAAAAACCAAAAAAACCCCAACTAAAATGATTTGGAAAAATAGTAAAAATAAATTCATTTTAAAATTCATAAAATAATTTCTTAAAGTTAAAAAAAAAAGCTACACAGAAAGGGAAAAAGGGAAAGTCTCTCCACCCCTGCTCTCATTCCCACTCATTAGAATAACATCTCCTTTGTCTTTCCCGAAATTTTCTATGCATTCATATACATTTACACACACTACTTCTGTTTTACCCAAATTGGATGATACCATCAGACTTTCTTCCCCCCTTCTAATACATCTTGGGCTTCTTTTGTTTACAAGGTGCACAGAATCTCACTGCATGGTGAACCGTTAATCAGCCCCCGTGTTCACATGTCCTCTTTTGCTTTTGTTTTCTGTTACAAGCAATGCAGCAGTGCATATCCTGCTAGTCTTCAAAAATGTACATCATTTTAAATTGATACTTTGGGGTTGAAAATACATAGTGAAGCCCTTTTGTTTCATTTCTTTCTTATTATTACACACATCACATTTTCCATTATAGGTATTTGTTTCCTTTCTCTAATAAAGTTCTTACAGAGTAGAGTTTGTCTTATCCACATCTGAATTCCCAAGACAAGTGTCTTGACCATACTATGCACCCAATAAATGTCTTTTAATTTTGCTAAAGTTGGAAGATGGGATAGAAAAAAAGATATTGTTTTCCCTCCCACTTGTCTTACCCTTCCTAAATAAAAAAGGTTTTATATTTTCTACTCTAAAATATAGTCAATACAACTTTTCGTCATTAAAAATACTAGTGTTGTTCAAAAATAATACTTACTTGTATTCACAAACTGGGACGAGCACCTTTAAGATGGTTATTACCACAACTGCTCCTGTAATTCCAACCACCATGACGTTCAAAAACATAAAGAATATGGGGAAAACACTGTTCCAGAACCTGCAGAGATCTTTTCTGAACTTTTCCATCCACTGACACATCACCTTAAAAACAAAGTTTTGATTAGATATGCCAGTTTCATTTGAGCTCTAAGAAACTTTAAAAATTATGTTCTAATTTTGGGGTGATGATAAAATTGTATTATATCTTGACTGAGGTGATGGTTACATGGGTGTCTACACTTGTCAAAATTTATCTGACTCTACACTAAATGAGTGCATTTTCTTTTTAAATGTACCTCACAGTTATTTACAATTTAAAAAGCGATGTTCTAACAACTGAGGCACAGAAATGTCACTATGCTTTACAATTATTTATACTGTTGTCTAACTAGAAACCAAGTGAAAATAATTGCCAATTGACAAGAAGGCAGCTAGTTCACTTATATAAAATGGACCAGTCAACTGTGGGTTTCTAATAGCTGGAGGACAAGAGAAGAAAGACAAATATATCAGTAGCTTTTGGAACAGATGGCATTCACTATGCACAAAACACATTTCTATACTTAAGAGTCACAAAAGAAGCGGAGGCATGCACTGAGGGCATAGGCTTTCAAAAGTCTGTTGGTGGGCTTCCCTCACTGAGGGAGGTGGGGTGGCCAGTGAGCGCGCTAGAGTTCAGGCAGCAAAGAGAGTTCTCCAGCAACCCCGAGGAAACAATTCTAACTTTCAGTGAGACCCTTGTCAAAGAACCATCTCAGGAATCCTTTGAGACTAACCACAAACCCTGCTCATTTAAACTCAAATTATTTTGAGTAAGGAGTCTAGCTAACATATATGGAGATTTGAGGATTCTCTCTCTGAATCCTGAATATCTTTAGTCAGCAGTGTAATGTCATTGGTAACACATGAGTACTTAACAGGTGCCAATGCACATTTACATTTGTACCTGTCTTATTTAAATCCTTACAACCTCATGAGAAAGGCATTATTGTACAAACTAAGTCGGGCCCCACTGGACAGATAAAGAAACTGAGGTTAGAGAGGCTAGGAACTTGTCCAAAATCACACAACTAGTAAGTGGCAGAGCCAAAGTATACTTTTAACCAAGTGTGCTTAGTCACTGTACAGGATCCTGAGGGGACCGTGTGTGTGTGTGTGTGTGTGTGTATGTGTGTGTTAGAGATCACAGAATGAACGGACAAATGGGGATATGAGAAAGACTTTGGAACTGAAAATCCCAAACAAAATTAAATCCAGTGCCCTGATAATCACTATCTGACTATATTATTAAGTGGAACTTGAAAAGGAAAATTGGAATACCTAAAAATATCACATTAAAACACTGATGAGTTCATTATTAACAATGTCCCACAGATTCAACCCTCATGGTTTCCACTTCATTTTAAATGATGGTATTTATTTTCTTTACCATAACCATAAATGCTTGTAATATATATAAAGATAATCCCAAATACCTGCTTTACCTTATATGAAGATGGAGGCTCTGCTCTAAGAGGAGTTTCAGGTAATTTGCCAGGTAAAGCGTCTTCATCTATGGTGGTTTCCACATTCCTGATAAGATACTGGCTGGTGGTCTGCAGCGAACTAACACTTTCTCCTGAGGAGGAAGAGCCAAGTTAACAAAACGCTGGGCACATGCTGGTGTCTCCTACTAGTCTTAAGATTACTATATCAGTAACATTTTGAATAACAAGAACGTAAAATTGAATAACAAGAACGAAAAAAAAATTGGTTGTTTAGATTTAAATGCCAGAAAGGAACCCCAAATTAAGAGTTATAAGGGAGCTACAGTAGTTATGACTCTGTCACACAGAAAGTCAAATTTTTTAAATTTCTGTGCCAGTGGGAAAAAATGGATGCTTCCTCTTCTAAATGAACAATATTCTTACTATGTATTTTGTGATGATTACCCAGAGTAAGATTAGATGGATGATTATAGCAAAATGTTGATGTAATCAACATTGATCATATTCCATAAAGACCTCAAGTGGATATATAAAGCAAGACATGTCATAAAGCATTTTTGAAAGCTTACTTCTAAACATATTAACTATGATTAAAAAGACAACAAATAAAAAACAAACAAAATTTTTAAAAGTTATCAAGTAAAGAAATAATTTCCTTAATACTTTAAATAATGGTCTTTTAAAGTACCTTTTTTGGAGAGGTTGGGAAGGGTAAATAAAATGTCATTGTCTCGGGAAATTGAGTACAGCATGCTTTCTTCCAAAGGTAGGGTGTAGTTTGAATGTCTGAGTACTCCCTGATTCTTAACTAAAATATCAATTTCAGTAACGTCCTTTTGCTGAGCCTACAAAAAAAAAGCAATTATTCTTTAAATAATGGTACAATCCAGTAAGAATCTAAAACTGAACTTCTCTTTCTGATTTCTGAAAGTAAAAAACTTGTCCTACTCAAAATTCTTCTTTATTTTCCCCTCTCCTTTGAGGCATTTAATTTGCAACTTAGGAGGGGGAGGGTTTAGCTCAGTGGTAGAGTGAGTGTTTAGCATGCATGAGGTCCTGGGTTCAATCCCCAGTACCTCCATTAAAATAAATAAACAAACAAACCTAATCACCTCCCCCCAAACAAACAAAAATTTGCAACTTTAATCACACTCCTGTGTGCTTTAGCACTCACTACTATAAGCTTGCTCCCAGTTTCATTTCATTGACTTAGAGACACAGCCAGAGGAAATGGCAGCAGAATTACCAGCCACCATCTCCTCACTTATTTGTTCTGCTTAATGACTTTCATAATATTTTAAAGTGATATAAACATGTATGAACATTATCTTTTTAAAAATTAAGACTTCAAATGATAAACAAGTATATGCTAAACCAAAAGATTCTAAATGATTGGATACAGACAACATTAGGGTACTTTTTTCCATATTAGAAGTCAGAATAAATAAAATAACTGAACGCATGTGTAACAGTGAGCACAAATCTTTACAATTTAATTCCCAATTAATAAGCATACTATCTTACTTGTTTTCCATCAATCTCTACTACCTCCTCTTGAATGACAATTAGTTGCAAACTGGAACCAGATGTCATAGGCCACTCATGAACTAAAATCCTTACACTGATAATTCCAAAATATTCTTTTTCCTCCAAATTTTCCAGATTTTCATCCTTCACTATAAAAAAAAGTAGTGACAGCTTTGAACAAAAAAATGCCACCAAATCAGTTACTGAATTTGATTATTCTGATGACATTTACATGGAACAAGACAGTTGCAGACCAACATCTTTGCCTTTCTTCGTTTCTGACCTCACTGATGTTTCAGATTTATGACAACAAAGACAACTTGACAAATTCTCACAGTGCTTACAGTCATTTGAAAAGGGAAAAATCCTTGATGGTCTTTAGATTTTGTATGAACCCCACACTAGCAGCATCATTCCTATTCTACATATTTTGTCAATGAGGAACCAAAAGGGCATAACTCTTTACGCAGACAATCCCACATTTGGGATTGTCAAAGCAAAGTGAGCACGTTCATCCATCCACCCATCCATTCATTCACAAAACCCAGCGATGGATGGGGACCAAGCAGTAAGGACACTAGAGGTTTTTTTCTCAATCCCTTCCCCAGTAAATGAATTGTTCTGTTGTAGAGGGCAGGAACAGGGAAGTCGGTGGGAAAGCCCTGTAATTATTCCCTACTAATGGATGACAGGGTGGGGTCAGCTACTGGCCATGATCCTCTCTAGCTGAGAACCCTCACAATGACCCAGTGGAGATGGGGTGTGGAAACTGCAGCTGTTTCAGAGAGCCAACAGCTACTCTATTAAGGCAGAAAATACTATAGAAAAATATAAACCAATGAAATGAAACTGCTGCAAAAGCAGCATTTTGTTTCTGTCCCTCAAATGTTATTGTCTGAGGATTACTTGCCAAGAAGGAACCCAGATGCATGTTCTGCATAGAGACCCAGCTGTTTAAACTGATTCGGTGCCTTTATAGAGCTATTCCCTTTACCTGCTTATTCTCCTCCCATCCATTTTTTAATAAACTTCTACTTAGGTAGTTCCAGGTACCATATCTCTACAATGCTCAAGTTCATGCCTTTTTTTTTTTAAAGCACTAACTTTCCTGCAGTGTAGCTCTTAGTTTATAAACCTGTCTCAACTAGGCTGAGTTCCTTGAGAATATGCATCAAGTTTATTCTATAGCTTTTGCGAAGCAGCGATTTCATCCAGAATTATAAATACATAATTTAAAATAAATATCCTATCATAAGTTATCAATAATGTTCAAATACCTGGTCTAGTGGTTCTAAATCCTAACTACACATAAGAATCAATTGGGGAACAGTACAGATGCCAGAGCCTCACTCTAATCCTAATACATCAAAATCTCTGGTGGGTATTGACTAACATTTACAATTTTTTAAACAGGTACAGACATTTTTATTGAGAATAAGTGGCCTAACCCTTGTCTTCATAAAACTGTTTCTCCTCCATTTTTCCGTAATAAACCCACCCTGTCACCAAGCTACCAAGGACAAAAACTAAATTACCTTTGCCTTCTTTACCCTCATCCTCTATGCCCAGTCAGTTGCTTCCTCTAGGCCATTCCAGCTCCCATGTGTCTCTTTTGTCCTTTCCATCTCTACCTACCCCCCCACTCAACATCTAGTTCATTCGCTACTTACTATTACAATGCTTACCCAACTATCCTCCCTCCTGTATCGCTCCCACTTCAAACCGTGCACAACAGGGCCAGAGTAATCTGACCACAACAGAGTGGCATCCACACAACCCTTTCGGCGGCTCTCCGCCTGGCGTCCTCCTTCAGACTCGTTATGGTGTGCTTGTTGCTCCTCTCTCTCATCTGCCTAACCTCCCTCACGCCCTCTGAGGCTCCTAACTGGCAAACTTCCCCTCTCTCGTGGTCTATTTCAGTGTTTTCACAGTCTACCCATTGGTCTCCCTCAAGAAACAGCAGGCTCTTCGTCAGCCTGCTTGTATGCCCAAAGGCCGGTGCACTAGGACGCAAGAGACTCAACAGATGAGAAAATGCGGTCATATAAATACATCAAACTGCAGACTCTTCAGACTCCAAATCTGGTACCGATGCTATAGAATACAACTAAAAACAGCAGACGTCCTTCATTTTTTGGACTTTCTCTTCTGAGGTAGACAGTTTTCCAAAGTGGCTCTCAACGACCCCTGCCCCCTGACACTCACGTCCTTGTGCAATTCTCTCCCACTGAGTGCGAGCTGGACCTAGTAACTTGCTTCTAATAAACAGCAAAAGGGCTGAAACGGCACTCGTGTGATTAGATAATAAAAGACTGACTTCTGTCGTGCTGGCCCTCTTTCTTGCTGGCACTCTCTCTTGTACTCCCACTGACAAAGCCAGCTGCCACGTTATGAGATGCTCTAAAGAGGTCCGTGTGGCCAGGAAATGAGGGAGGCCTCCAGCTACCATCTTGAGAGGAGCGGAGGCCCCGGTTCAACAGTACACATGGAAATGAATGCTGCCAACAGCCACATGAATGAGCCAGGAAGCGGATCTTTCCCAGCTGAGTTAGAAGCAGAGGACCCAGCAAAGCCAAGTTCAGATTCTCAACCTATAGGAACTATGACATAATACTGCCAGAGGCTACTTAGTTTTGGGTTAAATTGTTACATAGCAATAAATAACTAATCCACCTACCAAAGAAGAAATTTTTTAAAAGAATTAAGCATAAAAGACTTTTTTGTTGTAGCTTCATTTAGTGTTTTGACGATTCCTGTGACTGATAAGATAGGCTTTTACTTCAGCTCTCAGGGAAATAAGCTCAATGCAACAACACGGATGACTTGAAGGATGAACACGATACACAGAGCGGCCAGACTGCACTCCACGTCAAACTCCTCATGAACACAACGTCAGTGGAACAGCATTCAAACCAGTAATGCCACTTCTCTTCCCAGTTGTGATGGATTACCTCGTAGTACACCCACTCTCTCACTGAGAACCACTAGAAAAGATGTAAAAATACAAACACACACACATACACTCAAATCTACACTAAAAAAATACTAAGGGGAATTCTTCAGGCAGAGGGAAAAGTACCCCAGAGGGGAACACAGATATTCGGGAAGGAATGAAGTGCCTCGGTGAAGGTAACCATGCAGGTAAACATAAATGAATAATGGACGACAGAAAAATATTAGGAACAACTATGTTGCTTAGGGTTTAAGAACCCAAAGAATTAAAGTACAGGACAATAGCGACACAAAAGCAGAAAGGGAATAAATAGAGTATAAGTGTTCTAAGTTTCCTGCATTATTTGGAAAATAATAAAAGTATTAGTTTACTGATCTCAAGGGTAACCATTACAAGAATAGTAAAATAACATAAAAACCAACAAATAGAGGGGAACAATGAAACAAAAAGTAAATAACCCAGAAGAGGGCAAAAAAGGAGAAGAAAAAGAAACAGGATAGGTGAGATACAAATAGGAAACAAGATGGAAGTTCTAAATCCAAATATATCAGTTATTAACATTAATGCAAACAAATTAAAATTCCAATTAAGACAGACTGACAGCCTGAATTAGAAAAAGAAAAAAGAAAAAGAAACCTCAAGTAGGTGCTGCTTGTAAGACATTCACCTTAATTATAAGGACCCAGAAAGACTGAAAGAAAGTGGACAGATGAAAAGATACCACAAAGCAATCCACCTCCCACCCCCATGCCCAGCCAAAAAGCAGTTATTGCTAAAATAATACAGAGAAAGCTGATTTTAAAGCAAGAACATCACTAGAGATAAAGAAGGTCATATGATGATGAAAGAGTGGATTCACCAGAAAGACACAACAGTTCTAAATCTGTATGAATTTAGTAATATTGTGTCAAAATATATAAGGCAAAATTGACAAAACTGAAAGAATAGACAAATATATATTGTAGAGATTTTAACATACCATAATACCAGGAATTGACAGCGCAAACAAACAAGAATCTGTAATTTCCATAAAAGACTGAACATGATTAACAAATTTGACCTGACATATACAGAACAACATATCCAACTAATTATATAATTTACTTTCTTTTCAAGTACACATGGAAAGCAACATTTACTAAAACTGACCACATGTTAAGCCATACAGCAAATCTCTAACTTCAAAGAGTTAAAATTATACAGAGTATATCTTGATGACAGAGGTGGAATCAGTTAAAAAAAAAGTCCCAAAATATTTGAAAATTAAGCAACATACTTCTAAATGATCCACAGGGCAAGGAAATATCACAAGAAACAATTAGAAAACACCATGAATGGAATGATAATAAAAATATATAGTGAATCTAGTACAGGATACAAGTGCTTAGAAAAACATTTACTGCTTTAAAAGCATATATTAAAACAGGTAATAAGAATACAATACAAATTTCTCATATTCTTTATTTCATTCAAACAATAGTACATTCCAATGTAATACATTTGCTTGTCTTTAAACTCAAGATTTTACAAGGTTAAAAAGGAGAACGTTACAGACATAAAGGCAGAAGAAACTGAAATGTAGAAAATCAGAAAGACAATTCACTTTTCTCTGTTTTTTACAGTTGTGATAGGCACTCCTCCCAAGATTTTGACTCTTGCTTGTAAATCTCCATTCACCACCTCTAGGCACATTCTTACATAGTTATCAACCTGCCAGACATGCAGTTCCAAGCAATACCAATCTCATGACAGAAAATGTGACCATGCCAGAAATAATCAATGTGAAGTAGGAAGAGTTTTAAATACATTAGTGTTATTACATACTCCAGTAGTGACATTTATTATTAATTTAAAATAGAAATACAGAATATCCAAGAATTGTGTTTCACTAATTTAGTGTTATTAAAAATAGAACAATTATGGAAATAATTTAGCAGTACTCACCTATCAAAGTCTGACAGCTTATTCGGGTTACACCACTATTTACAGGCAAGTCATTTACATATACCTGTCCACTCTCATAGGTTATGTTAAGAACAACCTTAAAATAAAGCAGTATACACATTAATTCCAATGGTTTACAAATGATGACAAACTCTTCATGTCAAAAATACATTATCTAACTAAATTGGATGTGTAGATAAAAAATAAAATAGGCTGCATAATACTTAGCTCAGTGATAGAATAAAAACATAACCAGAGGAGACAAACCTGTTCTTTAGATGTCTCCCCGTCATCTTTCAGGGTAGTTACATTAACTCTGATGCTGTCCTGCAAAACAAGTATCACACAAGTTGGACAGGTATGCATTTCCCAAGCCGAGAATAACTCAGCGTTTTTTCTTCTCCCCTCAATTGTATTTAGTGTAGAATCACTTATGACATTAAAAGACCACTTAAAAAAACTCATCAACTTCATTTTTACAGAGTTTTTAACATTCTTACTCATAACTCCAATTTTTCATAATGTACATATTTTTCCATTTAATTATAAATTATATCACATATCTGAACATATAACATGCAAACACAGTTTAAAAGAGAAGATTAACACTCATGTGCCTACTACCTAGGTTAGAAACGAGAGCGTCATCCATACCTTGAAGTCTCCCACACGAGCCTCTCTGTCACGTTTCCCTCCTGCTCTTCAGAAGGAATCCATACATTGTCTTCTATGTTAACATCTCTTGCTTTTCTTTACAGGTGAATTACTTGTACATCTCTCTCTAAACAACATAGTGCTTAGTTTTATTTGTTCCTGAGCTTTATGTAAGTAGAGTAATATTGTATGTATTCTTCTAGAACTTCTTTTATTTAAAAATAATTGATGCATGCAGCTGTAGACATTTATTTACAGTGCTGTGTAATATTCCATCAAATGATCACCAATTTACTTCTCTGTTTGACTATCAGTGGACATTTGAAATGTTTCCAGCTTTATTGTTTTCATAAACAAAGTGTTCCCCAGTGCCCCTGAACAAGGACTTGCAGTACAATCAGTTTTAGTGCCTCTCAAGGTATGATCAAAAGCCGTCTACTCAAATAGTTAAGTTTGCTCAGGATATGCTTACTATAGAGAAGAAAGCACTATTTTAAGTATTCAGGGTCACAGGAACTACAATTTGTCATTTGTAAATCAAATTCTTTCCTAACTTTATTCACAGACAGACATTGTTACCTGAGAATAAAAATAAAATTCCTCTTAAATATTTTTGTCTTGGGGTATTCTTAACTTTGAAAAGAGAAAATTATTCATAAATATCAAACTAATACACAAGCGTATTTCTTGGCACCATGAGCATCCCCAACACTTTATATATTTCTAACAAATGAGAGACTAGAGTGATCTTATGAGGCTGACTTGACTCCTGGGACAACTTGAGGAATAGAAGTCTAACATGTAAGCCACACCATTCATTTAGGATGACTTTGGTACACTTCCTAACTCTTATAAGAGCCCAGGAAGCTTTAGGATAGTGACTCTCAGACCTAGCCTGGCTTTCTCCTGGTCCATTCTAAACTAGAACTAAGTGTGGGCTAGAACAAATACATTCATCTCTAGAATAAACCAACATTTAATAAACCATCAAGTCAATGGTTGTATTGTTTTAAGCCCAAATTCCAGCCAAGAATTCATTCTTTATCCAAACTACAGGATCTGTTAACTGTAGACTGTTGTTCTTCTAACAGCCCAGAGATAACCCTCCAATGATGATGCTCTAAGAAATCTTTTTATAGCTTCTGCCTTTCAGGAGAGAACATACACTATATTGCCAGTGGTTTACTGCATTTACATACATCACTTGCCCAGTAGAATATGGAGTTTGTAAAAGAAAATTAACAGACACTAGCACACTACATTTTCCAGAGAACCAAGTTCAATTAAAGTCTTTTTAGTCTTCCTGAATGACTTCATATCAGGAGAAACTCTCATCCTTTACTGCCTCCTGACCCAAAGTTCTGAGCCAGGTCATATTCCCTGCTCTTCCTGAGAGCCTCTGCCTGAACTGGAAGTTCAAGCTTGTGAGCCAGGGCAGTGTGTACTTGGAAAGCAGGTGGCAGAACTAAAGTTTCTCCCTACCCATTTTCAATTCCCCTCTAATTCCCTTACTCACAAGATGCCCATCTGAGACACAATGGCTTCCTAAGGGTAAAGGTAATAGACATCTGTCTTAAAGTAAATGAGTAAGTCTGAGGGAAATATATGTAACAAATATTTACACATATAAAAAAATAAGTGTCCTCTGGATGCCTCTCTTTGGTGACCAAGTTCTTTTAATATTAGAAGAATATGCTGTAAAATTTTTTATTATTTCACAATCAGTGTAACCTCAACTTCTGACAACTACATATGTAAACAGTGGGTGAAAAATGTCACCTGCTGTACAGTAAACAAAGGACACTGCAGCCATCAAGCCACCAGCCACTTCCGTCACCCTCAACTGTGCACCCTAAAGGGACTCAGATGGAGAAAAGCAGGATGCTGACCCTAGACAGTTAAGGTGCGTATCAAAGTAATGATTTAATGAGCCCAGACTCTTGCTTCTTCCCAAAGGTAGAAAAGTGAGCTAAATTCATTAACTTGAGATGTCTGGTTTTCTTTAATTAACAGTAATCTTTCGATGTTCCGACTACCTGCTTTTGTTGCAAAAACTCCTATATATCCTGGATCCTCCCTTATTTTTTCAGAGCCAACTCTCAAAGCTATCCTCCAACCTCAGGTCCTCAGTTTTGTCTGTCAAATAAAACAAAATTCTCAACTTTTAGGTTGTGCCTGTTTATTCAGTCGACAAGACAAAACAGAAAAATGCTTACAATCCAATAAATATGAGTCACTAAAGAGATAACAGGGAGAATTTTCCCCACTCCAACCAGTTTTGTTACATTTAGATCAGCCTGGATACAAAGATGAACAAGTGAACAGATGTGTGATAAAACAAGTAAATATAAATGGTAGTTTAAGTTTGCATTATTCAATATGGTGCCCACTAACCACATGTGGCTATTTACATTTAAGTTAATTAAAACTAAATAAAAATTTAAAAACTCAGTTCCTCAGTCGCACTGGCCGCATTTCAAATACTGTATAACCACAGTAGTCTGGTGACTACTGTCATGGAGAGAGAAGACATGCACCATCACTGCACAACGGTCAACCAGACAGTTCTTATCTAAAATATGTGTGACCGCTGTACAAATTATTTTAAGTGTTCTGTACATTTGAGAATTTTCACAAAACATTAAAAGATTTTTAGATCCAGAGGCCTCGCTTCCCACATACACATTTCCAATGAGATTCTCCTTCTGGCTGCATGGCATTCATTTAATCTATGAAATTCTGAGTGTAGATCTGGACTTTCCAAAAGTGGAATGAAGTCGTAAGGAGAACTGAAATGAACTCACTAAGAGGCCACAATGTGGTGTATTTTCAGCTTGCAGTCAAAAAACATTTTCTTTCAGATTATAGGGACAGACTCAAATGTCTTTCTGGTTCATAAGTAACTATGATTAATCTTCAAAATCTGGAAAATTTGGAAAATTCCAGAACTTTAGGAATTATTTCACTTTTATTTGGCCTCTTGGTCTCATATTCATAACTTTGAACAGCTGCAACTGTGGTCCACATATTTTAGATATAAGTGGTTCTAAGCACATGGGATGGTGTGGCTTCTTGGAATGTCCCAACAGAACTGAAACCGAGATATGCTATTACAATACCCAGGGAGAGTAATGTAATTCGAAAACATTGAAAGTAAAAAAGTGACGTTTGTGGGGGAAGGTAAAAACCTAATTACCCTCCCCAATTTTTTAAGTGACATTTATGGTGTCAGTCACCCCTGAATTTTGACTAGTAAGAAAAGTTTCTTTTCATTCTAGGAAAATTTGCATTTTAAAGTCTTCAAACTTTTCCCAACCACAAATTCAATTGATGAAAGGCAAACACTGGTTAAAGTCAGCACGATTCCACACTGCCAAAAGTAGTAAGAACAAGCCACCCTTCACGACAAGCATGCAGTAGTTCTCGAACTTTAGCTGGCCTCGGAATCACCTGGAGGGCTTGCTTAAACAGACTGCAGGGCCCCCACCCCAGAGCGTTGGATTGGTGCGTTTCTACCAGGTTCCCAGGGGATGCTGATGCGGCTGGTCCCACCAGCCTCGAAGATCCACCCCTCTAACAACACCCGCCAAAGGGACGACGTCAGGGTCAGGGTTGGGTCCTCCGCCTCTCTCCTTCTCCCGCCCCATCGACCCGGCTTGCGTGCACCCCGGAGCCCTGCGCGCCCGCGGAAGGCATCCTCCCCTCCGCCGGCCCGAGCAGACAGGTGGCCTGGAAACGCTCTCGCTCTCTCCCATTAAGCAACTTCCACACTTCCCCAGCACATAAACACTGCCTTGACCCAGAGCCCGGCTCTACCCCAAGAAGGCGCCATAACAAAAGGTTGAGATCACTTATGATCGGCTACTTTGACGGCAACCCCCCGCCAGGAGGGCAACAGTTTCGACTGCCTAACAGTCTCGGGGCACCGGCTGAACCACACATTAAAGAGCCCCCTTCGCTCTCTCGCCTCCTCCCTCCCCTGCCGCCCCAGCGTCCTCGGGTGCTTCTCCCCACTTCTCCTCTGGGGGCCCGGCCCCCAGCCCCTGGCCTGCCTGTCCTAGGTGGGAGGCGTCCAGGGGGACGCCGCAGTCCCACGTCCCGGCCCGGGCTTCCCCCAAGGATCCCGGTGGAGGTGCTGCCAAGCCGCGTCCGCCTCGCCCTACCTTCGGGGCTCTCTGTGGCAGCGGTGGCTCAAGGGTGCCTGTCGTCAGCCAGCCAGCGGCCGGCAGCACCGCGAGCAGGAGCAGCCGGAGGGAGCGCGGCGCCCACAGAGCGCCCTCCATCTTGGTCTGGCAGGCGGCGGGCGGGGGCGCGAGGCGGGGAGGTGAGGGCGGGGCGTTTGGAGGGGCGGGGCGTTTGGAGGGGCGGGGCGATGCGCGGCCCGGAAGCCTCCGACAGCTTCGGAGGTCTGGGGCTTCGGGGGTCCCGCGCAGCGTTCAGAGGCCGAGGGAAGTCACAGAAAGCCTGATCTCGTCATTAGACCGGCACTCTGATTTGGAGAGAATTTCCTCACCTAAACAAATGTAAATCCTTTCGTTGCCATTATTTTTGAATTAGCATGTACTGTATACGTACATAGGTATTTCTCTGTATATATTTACATATGTCTATAAAGTGAAAATAATGGTAATGTAGCAGAAAGCTATTGTACATTGAAATTCCACCTTTACAGGGGAAATTTCATTAAATTGGTACTTCCCTCTCACGTTTTGGGAATTGCCTAAGCACTTTTAAAAATTGCTGATTCTGGTGTCTTTGGGGACTCCTGAGTTTCTGATTTAATTAGTTTGGGCTGAGGCTCAGGCATTGGTAGTTTTTAACGTTCTTCAAGTGATTTATCGTGCCAAGAGCTGAGGATCAACACTGTATTGAGTTGAACATTCAGCAAATCACTGGAGACCTGGGGGAACTACACTCAACTGGGAGCCAAACCCTTTGGACACTTAGGGTCTTTCTAGTCAGTTTCTTGATCTATGAAAATAAGATGATAGATTTTTCTTACCCCTTTCAGAATTAAAAAAAATTATGAAACCTTCCAAAGCAAGATGTGGAAATAAATAAAAGAAACCTCATTTAAAATGAGGTCTGGGAGGCGGGAGAGGGGAAACTGGATGAAAGCAGTTAAAAGATACAGTTATAAGATAAATAAGTACTAGGGATGTAATGTACAACATGATAAATACAATTGGCTCTGCTCTATATTATAAGTGAAAGTTATTTGAGTAAATACTAAGAATTCATATCAAAAATTTTTTTCTATCTCTTTAATTTTGTATATATATGAGAAAATGGATGTTCATTAAACTTACTGTGATAATCACTTCATGATATAAGTCAAATCATGATGTACACCTTAAGCTTATACAGGGCTATATGTCAATTATGTCTCAATGAAACTGGAAGAAAAATAAATAAAATCAAATAAAAAAAATAAAATAAAATAAATAAAATGAAGCCTTTAAGCCCTGGAGGGGGCGCTCTCATGCACCATCACTCCTTGTGTCTGCACACCCCAAACAGAGAGAGAGAGATACCATGCATCTCCACAAGGAAGACGCTTACCCTCTTACCGCACTACCCCAGCAAAAGGAAGATTTTCTCCTTACCCAGCAATAGCCCTGGCAATGAGAAACTGCGACACACAGCCAATGAGAAGTTTGAACTCCTGCTCTCTTCCAGGGGACTTTTACTCAAAACAGCCCCTCCCACTTTCCTCCTTTTTTCTATAAAAGCAAGCCCCTCTCCTTTGTTCTCCAACTTGCCTATAGTTCCCCATAGTTTGCATGTGCCTTAGTGCAGTTCATCTGCTATTCCTGAATAAACCCATTTTGCTGGTAAAAAAAAAAAAAACTGGGTGTTTTATTTTTAAGGTTAACACAGAAAATGCCAAGAAATGCAGGCATTTCAGGTTAACAGGATTGCATATTGATTGAGAAGAACTTGGAGATGCCATTCATGGAAAGTAAGAAACAGTCTTTCTTTAAATTCAAACTTTTGACATGAAAAACACAAATCTGTTTCTCTCTTAACTCCTTTTCCTCTTTTATCAACCCTCCACCCATGCCTGCATAGCAAGAGTAAACTACAAAATCTTTGGCCAAAATCTCTGTACAATAAACAATAAACAATACAATCATTCAACTGATTTCTTGCCTATTATGACATACAGCACAACATTATTAACGGACAAGTGGATTCTGCAGTGACGTCTCATCCACTCATGGGTTCCAACTGTAACCACTGGCCTTTTCACTTTCAGATGGCTAGGATTAAAATGAATCAAATTCATGGGTCAGAACACATATTTGTTCTAATTCATAATTTGAATTAGTAATATACGTATAAGGTTCCAAAATACATTTGAAAGAAAAAGTAGTTGCAGATGGTAAGATAGTCTGTATCTCCCAGCAGAGCCCTCCCCATTGTCTGAGCATCCATTATTCTTTCACTTGTTTGCCTCCAAAAGAGTTAAGTTTGCCTACAGAAACTCAGTGTATTTCTGTGCACATTAGATGCTTTATGTTCCTTGAAGATAATTTTTCATATAACAGAAGATATTCTAAAAAAAATTTTAATACATAGAAAATAAGGCATATAAGATGTATAAAACATACATCTTTATTCTCACACCAAATAGTACTTTGACTCTAAACTTCAATATATCTCCTTTTTCAGCAACTGAGCCCATTATTTTTATCATTCTCAATCAAAACTTGAATTCTTCTTTTTTCTGTAATCCAAAAGTGGGCTTGGCACCAAAGGGAAATCTGGGACACAATCTGTATCTGTTTTCAATTTCTGGGAGAGTCACTGCATTTCCATTGCAACACAATCTACTCCATTACTTTCCAGAATTACTCAACTGCATATTTTTCAACTTTTTGAAGGTTCAAAGGAAATGATGAAAATAAGATCAAGAAAGAGAGAAAGATCAAGGAAGTGGGTATAGGTCAGTGGTGAAGTATGTGCTTAGCATGCAGGAGGCCTGCGTTCAATCCCCAGCACTGCCATTAAAATAATAAATACACCTAATTACCTCCCCCTAAATAAATTAAATTAAAAAATAAAAATAAAATAGTTGGACAAAAAAAAGTGGCTGACATACAATAGACATTCAAAAAACAGGAAAGATATTCCTTTTACGTCTCCAAAGTCATTCTCACTATAAATGTGATGGTAACAGGGAATACGATGAACCTTAGTTTTCCAAACTGGATTCCTCAAGGTCTGAGGAGGAAAAGCAGAAAAAGGAGCAGATTAGGTACACAATGTCAATATAAGAGAAATTAGTCAAGATGGTTGGTGATGTTGATGTTTGGAAAGTAATAAAAATTTACTAATCTTGTTCTCCAGAGAAAAATCTACTTTAGTGTTTACATTTGGTAGAATTTAGAAGGATATATCTCATTTCTTTTCACCTTTGTTACTGCACAAATCACTTAAATATTTATATCATTAGAAACTCAAAGTGTAATATGAGACAAGCATAAACTATATAATCATCATGAAATGATATTTTTCCTATTAAGGTAGAATATTTGATATTTAGTGATATATCAGGACGGACAGATAGATAAACAGATAGAAAACAAAGATATGGTAAGTTACACCATGAATAATGAATAAGTTATTCTGTCTTGGGCTTAAGATATCCATACCTGGGTCTGAATTCTTCAAAACAATCTGGCAGTATCATATGTGGTCATTAGTGAATCACTTCACATATGAAGTCATTCCTCATATTTATTATGTCAATTTCTAATTCTCTTTGAATAGCCCAAATTTGCCTTTAAAAATTGTTTGATTTTTCCAAATCCTCTTTTTTCTTTGGATTCATAGTATTTCTTTTAAGCATATCCAGGATTTTACCAAATATTACCCTGTAATGCTACCTCTAGTCCTAAGATTATATTGGGAAAAGATCAAATGAGTTATATACACAGTATCAAACAATTAGTTTGAACTGATGTTTCAGTTTTCAAAGATTTTTGAAAAAAAAACTTTCTTTAGATTCTGCAAGGTTATTATTGGAGGATAATTCTCTATGGGACTCTAGAGTTTCTGTACATCTTGCGAGCAAGGTACTGACTGCCCTTTCTTCTAGGCCATATTTCAAAGAGATTTTATACACACATACATCAAACCTTGATAAATAGGTGTCTCCTTTCAGAGCAAAGGGCTGGTATGTTTATGCCCATTAGAGAAGGTCAGGCTCCCTAACCTCAGGAATTCTCTTCTGTAATGCAACCCAGTGAATGTGCAGGTTGTCTGGGCCCTCAACGTTGCACTGTGGGACTCTGAGGCAATGAAACTGATGCAAACATGCTGGTACTCACTTAACTTGCTGTGCTGAGTAATAAATTATCTTTGTCTCTGACCTGGGACTCTCTTATCTTCTATTAGGACCCATGAAATTATGGCAGGCTAACTTGTTAATTTGAAAGCAGTAAAAACTCAGACTTTTCACAGTTCTTGACAATTACTTCCTAAATTCCTATAATTATTTGTTTACATGATATTTTGTATTAAGATTTTATTTTTATTGTTCATTGAATGGAATTTCTGTGTTTTCTCATTTCAGGCATGGTGCCTATCACAATTACCTGCTTCTGTTTTGACATAAAGCTTTAACAGTCCTAACATTTTTTGGAAATGATGTCCTTGTTAAAGCTTAGACTTAATGAAAAAATGCCAAAAAAACCCCAAACTAACTAACTAACTATATATATATATATATATATATATAGAGAGAGAGAGAGAGAGAGAGAGAGAGAGAGAGAGAGAGAGAGAGATTATAGCAGCTGGCTCTTGTGGTTATGAAAGCTGAAAAGACTCATAATCTGCTGTCTGCAAGCTGGAGAACCAAGAAAGCCTGTGGTATAATTCAGTCCAAGCCTGAGGACCTGAGAATTGGAGGGCTGATGATAGAAGTCTCGGTCTGAGTCTGAAAGCCAGAGAACAAAGTGTGCTGATGTCCAAGGTTAGGAGAAGATGAAAATCCTAACTCAAGCAGAGAGATCAAATTTTCCCTTTTTCTGCCTTTTTATACTACTCTAGCCCTCAAGGGACTGGATGATGCCCATCTGCAATGGTAAGGGTAATCATCTTTACTCAGTCTACTGATGAAAATGTTAATTTCTTCGAGAAACATCCTCACAGACACACCCAAAACAATGTTTTACCAGCTCTCTGGGCATCCCTTAGCCCAGTCAAGTTGACATAAAATTAACCATCATGGATATTTTTGGTAAAACATGATTCAGTATTATGTAGCAATGCAATAGGATTTGGAAAGAATAAAATTAATGAAATCTCTTTTA